CATGGCCTGAATTTCAGACTTCATATACCTCCCATTGCAGTCATGGGAGCTGGTGTAATGCACTTCTGAAAATCAGGCTATTTCTGAAGTGCACAGTATGTGTCTGTAAATGAATCAAAACTAAGAATGTGTATTCTAATGTGATTGCTCTGTTTGGAGAGCCAGAATAGTGGCAGCAAATGTGTTAACTTCTCAGCACCTTCCCTGTTCAGCCTTGTCCACAACTCACTATTCCTAGTTTCTCATGTTCTCTGTTCAGTGTCTTTCCCCCTGTCAACTTTTCCCCATAACGTGCCTTTTTCCTCAAATCATATGTCTTTTGCTAGCTGCTACTTTTCTACTTTTCAATTAATTGAAGTCCTACTTTTTTACTGTGGTATGGTTTAAAAATATTTCTTAATTTGCTGTTCAGGGTCAGGCTGTGAGGGATGTGGTAGGAGCCAAGTCAAAACTTTTTTTCCTATGTTAAACAAGTCTTGTTGGAATTTCTAAGCATCATGTTTCTTTCTCACAAAAGAGAGGAGTAAATAAACATTGTGTTTTGTTTGTTTTCCAAGTGTCAGAGCAAACTAATGCTTCTAGAAAAGGAAACACTACCATCAGATGTCAAGGTAAGACAGTATTTTTAATTTATTTTTTTTTATTCTCCATAAAATATTTAGTTTTCTGTAAAGATATGGTGTGTTTCCAAAACAAGGGGAAACTAATCTTCACTTACTCTCTAAAGCTGACAGTTTTATTAACTTTGAAGCTGTATTCTGAAGTATGTGTCTGGCAAATACTGAAAAGTTGCATTTATGTATAGCAAAAAGGTTACATGCAGTCCTGCCACACACCTGATGAATGACTAGCATAGGCAGCAAAATGGAGGGACGTGTTACTTCAATACCCGTGTGGACTATTTCCTAATCAGTGTATATGTAATTTGTCAAACTATATGGATCCCTTTAGTTTTAACCTGGAACTTTGTGTTTGCAAATTCCAGTTGCTCCCCATTTGTGCATATTATTGGGAAACTGATGTGCTTGAATTAGAAATTAACTGAGTGATGCTGAGTCCGTGAACATGAGCTCCTGTATCCGTCAAATTTTGGGGAACATGCAAAAAGGCAATGCTGGCTCACTGCTTTAGTTGTTTGTAAATTCTGAATAGGAACCTTTAAAATAGAATGCATCTGAATCAAACATTCAGATGTTCGATTTCATAGTAATTACTAATATTAATCTCTTGCTAGTAATAAAATATGTTCTAAACTATTATTAATCAGAATAAATAAATGAAGATGCATATTCAAATGCATAAACACAATCTTTTTCTTTTTGGACTATGGATAAAATTGTATAAGTAGAAATATTTTTTTGTTATTTTAATTGGGTGTAGACTGAGGTTTTTTATTCCTTTGCAGCTTTACTGAAGCACATCATACCCTTGTAATTAATACTTAAACTCTGGAGATGTGATTTTCTTGAAAACTGTCATAGCAAGACAATGGTTAAGTGAAATTGCAAAAATGAAGCTTAAATTAAGATAGTACTTCATGATAGAAAATAAGGAGAAGAGTGTCCTGATTTTTGACTGGGACACAGCTCATTTTCTTCTTGGTAGCTGGAATAGCACTGTGTTTTGGTTTCAGTATGGGGTTTGTTATGAGAAGAACATTGATAACGTACTAACATTTTCAGTTTTTACTGGAAAATGAAGGACTTTCCAACTTCCCCATGTTTTGCTAGTCTGCAGGTGCAAAGGACTTGGGTGGGGCAATAGTAAAATTAGCAAACCCAAATTGGCATTTGGATCTGCCAGTGGAATATTCAATATCATATAATGCCATGCTCAGTGTATTATTGAGGATCTCTCGGGCTCTCGCTCTTCCAGGATTGTGGTTTCCGTTTTGGGATTGTCACTCTTCTGGGATCATTATCCAGGAATGGGCTGGGCTTGGTCAGCAGGTGGCAGGCAATTGCGCTGCGCATCACTCATTTGTATATTTTATTACTAGTATTATTACCATTATTATTGTCATTATTATTTTAAGTTTTATTTCAATTAATAAATTGTTCTTATCTCAACCTACAAGTCTCCTTACCCCTCCAGTTCTCTTCCCTATTCCCTGGGGGTAGAGAATAAGTGAGCAGCTGTTTGACGTTTGGCTGCCAGCCAAGTTAAACCACCACAGAGAGGAAAAGGTCATGTTATAGAATCACAGGATGGTGTGTGTTGGAGGGGACCCACAAGGACCATCAAGTCCAACTCCTGTCCTAGCGTAGAACAATCCCAATATTCACACCATGTTGAAGGCAGGTCTTGTCCAAATGCTTCTTGGATATTGTCAGGCTTGGTGCCATGACCATCTCCTTGGGGAGCCTGTTCCAGTGCTCCACCACCCTCTCGCTGAAGAACCTTTTCCTAATGTCCAACCTGCCTCTGGTCCTGCCATTGGTCACCAGAGAGAAGAGATCAGTGCCTGCCCCTCCTCTTCCCCTGGTGAGGAAGTTCTAGACCATGATGAGATCTATTCTCAGTCTCCTCTTCTCCAGGCTGAACAAACCAAGCGACTTCAGCCTCTCCTGATATGGCTTCCCCTCTAAGCCCTTCACCAATTTAGTGGCCTCCTCTGGACACTCTCCAGTAGCTTTAGATCCTTTTTATCTGTGGTGCCCAAAACTGCCCCCAGTACTGGAGGTGAGGCTGCACCAGAGCAGAGTAGATCACCTCCCTTGCCTGGGTCGCCATGCAGTGCTGGATGGGATCTTATTGCACCCCTAACACAGGCACTTGTATTGACCTGTGAAACTACAGACCTGTTAGTCTAACCTCAGTACTTGGAAAAATTATGGAGATTATACTGGGTGCTATTGAAAGACATTTAAATAACAGTGCAATTGTGAGGTACAATCAACCTGAGTTCACAGATGGAAAGTCCTGTATAGCTGCACCAGTACATCAACAAGTTATCAAGAAGTTTGTTGATGATACCAAACTGGGAGGTGCTGTTGACTTTTTTGACGGACAGGAGGCCTTGCAGAGGGATCGAGATTGGAGCATTGGGCAATGATTAATGGGATGAAATTTAACAAGTCCAAATGCCAGATCCTGCACCTGGGATGGAGTAATGCCAGGCACAAGTATGAACTGGGAGAGGAGTGGCTGGAGAGCAGCCCTGCAGAAAGGAATCTGGGGGTGCTGGTCCACAGCTGGCTCAATGGGAGTCACCAGTGTGTCCCTGCAGCCCTGGGGGCAAACTGCATCCTGGGGGGCATCAAACACAGCACAACCAGCCGGTCAGGAGAGGTGACTATGCCACCTCATTTAGTATTGGTGCAGCCTCACCTGGAGTATGGGGTGCAATTCTGGGACCCATGTTTAAGAAAGATGTTAAGGTACTCAGATGCATCCAGAAGAGGTCAACAAAGCTGGTGAAAGAGCTGAAGGACATATCCTGTGAGGAGTGGCTGAGGACTTTGTGTTTGTCTGTTTTGGAGAGAAGGAGGCTGAGGGGCAACCTCATGGGTCTCTCCAGCTTCCTGAGGAGAGTATGTGGAGAGGGAGGAGCTGAGCTCTTTTCCCAGGTCTCCAGTGATGGGACGAGTGGGAATGGTTCAAAGCTGTGCCAGGGGAGTTTCAGCCTGGACATTAGGAAGCATTTCTTTACTGAGAGGTTTGTCAAGCACTGGAAGAGGCTTCCTAGAGAGATGGTCAATGCCCCAAGCCTGTCAGTGTTCAAAAGGTGTTTGAACAATGCCCTTAATAACATGCTCTAGCTTTTGGTCAGTCCTGAAGTGTTCAGTGGCCTGATTGTGCTGGCTTAGAATTGTAGAATGAATTCTCGGTCAGAAAACCGCATTTTAAGAAGACTGCAGCACCTGATCTGATCCAGAATGATAGAGGCCTTTAGCAGTTTAGAGTCAGCCAGGTGCTAAGGCCAGGAGGAGTGAAAGCCGGGGCAGCTGACCCAAGCTGGCCCACAGAAGCATTCCATGCCATAAATGTCACGCTCACTATAAATTGGGAGGTTTGCTGGGGATGTTTCTCTTCCTCAATGGCCACCATCCCTAGAGGATCTCACCCATCATTCTGCTCCCAAGGCCCCCTCTTCTGCTTGTTGCAATGGTCACAATTTCCTTGGCTGAGTATAACTTTGTGTATTTTATATTAGTATTAATATTAGTTCTTACTATTATTTCATTAAATCTGTTTTCATTTCAACCGACGAGTCTCCTCTCCCTTCCTAATTCCCCTGCTCAGGGGTGTGGAAGGGTCAGTGGGCGTTACAACAACTGATTAACCTAAGGCAGGCAGGCAGGCAGCTGAACTAGGTGATTGTTGCAGGTCCCTTCCAGCTGCAACTATTCTATTCTGTTTTTGCGGTAGCTGTCAAAGAAGCTGTGGTTTTTTCCCTTGATATCAACCTTGTCACTAATGTTCATTCCTTAATCACCTTAATACTGTAATCTTGCAATGTACTCTTTATGGTTTTATCCTTTAAGGTTGGGGACTGGTTCTGGTCTACGATGCGATGGATTGCCTACTGAGCATCATATTTTGCTAGGAATGTGTATAGGGCATGGGAGAGAGACATCTGATGTACCTATTTGCTGTATGTATTTGCCTGTTGAAAAGACTGTCCTTGATTCAAGGTTGCTGAATGGTACTGTTAATTTATTTGAAAGTTTCTTATCTGGTTACTGGAATATGCAGAATGTTTTGTAAATCCTTTTTTATCCAGTTCAAAGGAACAAAGAGTGAGCTGATGGTATGGTCAAGAGTAGTGCTCCCTTATGATGGCACTGCCTGAACTAGAAAATAAAAAATGTTTGTGTGGTGGTTACTTCTTTTGTTTTGGGTTCGTTTTCCTTTATTATAAATGGTTGTCTTTTGAAGATGCGCTTTAAAAAAGTTACATTGAGTAGTGAAAAGCTGATGCTAAGTTGACAGTTCTTAATATTTTTATTATAAAAACTTGGTTGATGATTCTTAGTGTATTTTTCTCTTTTTAGTTGACATAAAGCCAAATGCAGTCTGCAATGCTTTTTATGGAATGCTTGACCATGTCAGCAGTACCTTTTGTATTTAAGTGTATGCTTAATTTACAATGTGTTTCAAGAAAAATTATAGGTGTAGTCCTCAGTTTCAGGAAGTGGAATAGTAATAATGAATATGTCCTTTCTCCAAAACATAGTAAGATATTAAAATGAGTACATTTTTTAAAACCTGTGGTTGTTTAGTTTGGGGTTTTTTAATAAACTTCTCTAAACTGGTGTTTTTTCTTATTGCTTCTATATTTTCAGTGATTATATTGAGCTGGAGCACTAGTTCCAAAGCATTTTTTGTTCAGTCCACAGATAAGGTTTTGATAGAAGGTTTGACTACTGGATTTTTTGGAAGCCAGTCTTTTGTTTATTCATCACATATCCCAGCACAGTTAATTTAAACTTAAATGTGTATCAACCGTGCATCTAAGGAGGAGTGGGGGTATAAAGTATTGTCTTGGCTTCTAGTGGCTCATCTCCAGTTGTGGTCTTTGTCTGATATTATACAGGAAATTAGGGGAGAAATTCCAACTCTGACTACTTCCAATTTCCCCCTTTTGAAAAAAGAATAAAAATGTTTCCTAATCCCTGCAAGTGGCTTTTTAAATCTTCTGGAGGAATAAGTGGTCTATTGTAATAGATGCTCGTTTGTTTTCTGCTGTATAAACATAATAATTGAATTTCTATCCTGTTCTATCTCATTTAACTCCAGTGCATCTCAACACACTTCAAGAGATGTTTCTTTTCTTGTTATACAGGATTCCAGGTTAATGATGCAAGTGAAAGCTTTAACAGCAGAATACAATCAATGGCAAAAAAGAAGTCCTGAAAGTAAGTAACTGCTTCCATTTCAGATAGACTTATATAAACTTCTGCACAGTCTCTTTGATCTAGACACCTCAGGCTATTGGAAGGCCCAGACACTGAAAATGAAACCATTCAGAATCTAAGTGTGATTCAATTAGTCTGGTTTTTCTGAAGTCCCATTTGGAGACTCCTAAAACAGTTCACACTACACTATCATTAGTATTCTGATAGCACTCACTGTTATGTCTCTTGTCAGGGAACTGTCAGCACCTTTCAACTCAGTAAAACTTGTTAGTTAATCTTTAAATGGATACATTGACTCATTTGAATATTTTTATGCCAGAAGAGTCTTGGTTTTTTAGTGTTTACAAAATGATAGGAATGTGTTTTAGACAGCAAACGGTGATTTCCAATATTTTGTCTTTTGGCCAAACTGGAATGCATTTTCACATGAACATTAAAGTCACTTCTACAGCTTCTTTCAAAGTTAATGTACTTGCTCCATATTGTGATCAAATGATAGAAGCATGGAAAAAAAATTCTTCTTTCTCATAAATAGACATTGTTGCTCTATTAGAATAAAATCATAGTTTGTTTGTAAGCCTGTCTCTTACACGAGGCCACGAGAATGTTGTGAGGGCTGGAGCACCTCTCCTATGAGGACAGGCTGAGAGAGTTGGGGCTGTTCAGCCTGGAAAAGAGAAGGCTCCAGGGAGACCTTATAGCGGCCTCCCAGTACCTGAAGGGGCTACAAGAAAGCTTGGGAGGGAATTTATACAAGGGCAGGTAGTGACAGAACAAGGGGAAATGGCTTTAAGCTGAAAGAGGGCAGGTTTAGATTAGATATTAGGAAGAAGTTCTTTCCTGTGAGAGTGGTCAGACACCGGAACAGTTTGCCCGGAAAAACTGTAGATGCCCCCTCCCTGGAAGTGTTTAAGGCCAGGCTGGATGGGGCTTTGAGCAACCTGATCTAGTGGAAGGTGTCCCTGCTCATGGCAGTGGGGTTGGGACTAGGTTATCTTTAAGGTCCCTTCCAACCCAAACCATTCTATGATTCTCTAAGAATCGTCAGCCTCAAATGCTTCTTAGAGGTATGCAGACCAAAGGTATGACATTGAATGAATTTGGGAAGTACTGGCTCCTGGCTGTTGCTCATAAATAAGCTACTGGCTTAAAGCAAATGAATTTAAAACACTTACAGTTTTTATCTGGGTAAAATACCTGGAAATAAAATATGTGATTATTTTAAACTTTAAGCTATTTGCTTAAAAATATTCTTGGGCCTTGACCTATTTTTATTGGCTTACTGACTTGCTTTGCTCTACCATTCTCACTTGTTCCCAGGTGATAAGACTTATTTTTAGAAATCTTAATTTTGTACTAGAAAAATGATCTATGCATGTTATAATGCAAATAATATTTTGCAACCAAAGCTTTGACTTTTTGACTACCTTTCTGAGGGAAGAAAAAGAAGTTGCTGCTAAGAATTTGAATAGAGATGTAGTGCTTGTATGGAAATGAAGAGTCTGCTGTGCTTACATATCCTCTGTCCATCTTATCTCCTTCCTACTTACTGTTTGTTTTGAAGGAGGAATTACTTAATAGAAAACACTGACTGAATTTATCTAAATAGTAATAGCAGAAATACTAATTTTATACATTTACTAATAAAGCATGAATGTCAGACTGTCTTGTTACTTTGGTTTCTGCTTTTAGTAATGGCCAGTGCATTTCTTATAGAAGAGGGCCTGTCAGCATTTCAATTTTAAACCTTATTTTCAGAGGTTATAACTTGGCAGTTCTACATTTCTTTGGGCACAATATTGGCACACAGACTTGAATCCACAATGCAAATTTTACTTTTGCAAAGCATTTAGTTTAGTCTCTTGCTCTTTCTCAATTTCTGGTGCTATTTATGTAGCTCTAGAGCTGCTAAATCAGCTGAATTAAAACTTTTTAACAAGCATTTGGCTCTTAAAAATAGAATTTAACTTTACCTTTGCAAAATAAGGAAGTGGAGGCAACCATATTTTAAACCATATGAAACAGTTGTGGTTTTTGCATAATTTCTATTTTTCTTTGCAAAGTATCACTATTCTGCCAAATTCCTCTTATTTTAATAGGAGTTTCTATATAAACATGTGCATAATAGTTGCTTTTACATTCCTAGCATCTGGTAGTATTTTGCTTAGTAATTGTACTATGTATCACTAGGCAATTCTGTTTGACATTTGATTTTTGCAAATGCAGTGATTCATAACTGAAAAACCTTTAATTAATAGTAGATAGAGCAACCTGAGTTCTTTACCGTAGCAGCTACTATAAATGTGTTGTCCCAGTGTCTTAGATCTACCATGTTACTTCACTAAATTAGGATTAGTGATTTCTTTCCTAGGAAGATGTGGCTTTCCATTCCGATACTCCCACAATATGAACACTGAATTGGAAGCACATCTATAAACAAAGAAGTGTTAGAAACCAATAGTAGAAATTGATAATTCCAGGTAGTGAGAGCTCAGGATAATCATGGCAGTGGCTTGTCAAGGGGAAGAGTTCGATAGGTTTCTTCAGATGTGCCAGTGAATGTGAATAAAAACACACCAATGAATTTTATCATATGTACGTAGGATACTTCTGTCATTAAAGAAATCTTGCTCTAATAATAACACAGACCACTAATAATCTTCCACAGCTCTTAAACATAAGCTTGTTTTGGGACCACTCTACTCAAATTTTGTGTCAAGATTTAGAGAGTGTAGTTCTCTAAGTAAAAGGGATTTTACTGTAACATGTAACTTAATGCATTTTGAACTCAGTAGATTTGCTGATTTTTTTTAGAACTAATCTAAGGCTTCTAAAAATTTGTGGAGATAAAAACTATTAAATTACCCAAAAAAGGGTACTTTTATAAATTTATTAAATCAACTGTATTGTATTTAGGAGATATTGAATGCTTTTATGAGAGGGTTAAGGGTTTTTCTTTGGTTAAAGGAAAAGCTTTTACTGAAATAATTATTTTTAAGATTAGTGATTTGGAGCCCAAGCTTGGACAAAAAATATCCTCGTCATATTAAGATTTAAATCTGTTAGAGTAGCTTTCCCTTCTCTTCTTAATAGATTCAAATGCTTAACTTTTTCAAAAGTTATATGTTTATGCAGATGCTGCAAGTTGACACGGAACTGAGAATTGATTGGAGTACATTGAAGACTGTCAAATATAGCAATTCACTTTTTATTCAGAAGGTGCATGAACCGTAAATCACTTCGATTTGCAGAAGCATTCTGAAGAAACATTACCACATCCTTGAATAGTACCATACTTTCCCTGAGGTACTGCTGTAGCTCAGGAATGGAGTTAGGATGTTGGCCTTATTGCGCCTTTCATCTCCCTACTTGGAGCTGTTCTTGTGAACAGTAGGGATGGTGACATGCTTTTTAAGTTCTTTAAACCTGATAGGTTTTACAATCCTGATCAAACATTTGTGAGTCTATTTAACAAGAAGTTAGAAGACTGGAAGAATTTGACTGCCCACATTGGTAATGTTGATGGAATCTCTTCCACTGAAAAAAATCAGGCTTGCTTATCTTGAAGTATGACTATATTTCACATTTCAATATTATGTACTTGAGCTAGTTCAGGTATAAAAAATAATGCAGAAACACTAACAACACACTTTTTTCAATCTAATTTAACTATTTGAAAAGTAGCAGGAGGCTAGCCCAGCAGGACACCACAAAATGTGGTTAAGCTGATGCTGACAGCCAAGCTAGTTTTTTAGAGGTTACAGAAGTTTCTCTCTAGTCAGGCTGCTTTTCAGTATAAACAAGTCAATATCATGCAATGCAATAAACCCAATTAATTTTATTTTTCAGTAATATCTACCAATCCAGATGTACTGTTAGCATTAGGAATGGAAGAGGTAAGTACTTTTGTTTGTTAAGAGATAATAAAATTTCACTGAAAAAAGTATATACTGTTGCTGCATTTTCCTGTGGCTACTCCTGTGGTGGACTTTTGGGTTTTCTTCTTCCTAGCAGCTTTCCTCCCTCTAGTATCATTCACAACAGGGAACCCAACTGCTGTTAAGAGTCACTGTTAACAAGTTCTTTGGTTACACACTTTCATTTGACTGTATTGCTATGGCATTCTTGATCTAATATCCCCTTTTGTGGCCTATTTTGTTGAGGATTCAAATTTTTTTTTTCAGATGTTGCATATAGAGAGCAAATTTGCTTCTGTACAATATTTTCACAATTTTTATTTGAGCTAAATTTAAAAAGTTCCCATAATTTGTATGGAAGGAGACAAAATACATTCAAATCATAGTTTTATATTAAAAAACCATAAACTATTAGAAATACTACTTTGTAGAACATAATGCACTAATGAAAGACCCAGTCCACTGTTCCCCATCTTCAGCACTGCATATAAACTTCTGTCTGTGGTAGTTTTATTTCTTCCTCTCCCCTCTCTGAGATACGTCTACTGAGGACCATTTAATTAATGGATTCAGACTTAGTCTTTCTTTTTGTTTTCTGAGTGCTATACGTTTTGTGTTGGTGCAATTAGCACGGATTCATTATTGCAAACAGCAGCAGTGATTTAGACAACACAGCCCTGGTGCTGCAGATATTTTCTCCTCAGTCTTTCATCAGATGAGCAGTTCAAATGTGTGTTCCATAATATGCTTCAGGTAAAATTAACTATTTTGTCTTACAGAGCTTCCATAGGACACTAATGACTAACTGGTGAAGTAACATTTTAAATAGCTCCAACTGGATTTAAAAATAGTGTGTCACTCTATAGCCATATTTCTTAAGAAATTACAGATAATTTTGGCCCTCTTTACCAGATGTACAGATTAACCTTACATAGAACAAATACTACAGGCAGGGCTATCTGCGAACTGGAGGTTTATTTTTACTTTTTTATAGTTGCAGAAAGTAAAGAATGACCTTGAAATGGTGCTGTCAGTACTTAAGTTAAAGAATAAACAACTGGAAGAAGATCTGAAAAGGTAATAGAATACTTTGGACTTATGAATGCTGTAAGATTTTTTTTTACCACATATTGGGTTTTTTTACTGTCTGGAAAACTATTGATCTGTTGTGCCATTTCCTGTTTTTCATGTTTCAAAGAGAACAGCAGTGGCATGAGGAACAGGAGCAGTTACTAGATCTTCTTAATGGACTTGAAGAAGAGACAAAAACCCAAGTTGAACAACTTTCCAAAAAAAGGTATTTCTACAGTGTTGAGATTTTGTATTGGAGAATTTAAATGTCAACAAGAGCAAATGCGCAAACAAGCTCTTAAAACATACTCCTTGTTTTGTTAAATAGATCAAATAATAACTCAGTAATCCATATTTGAAACATGGGAAATATTGCTACTATCTGCTTATGTCCTGTGATTCAAGACGTTGAACTAAAGACAGTAGAAAAGAAGGAAATTTTTTACTTCAGAGCTTTTAAATTATTTTCTTGAATTTCTTATTCTATTGCTATGTTTTTACTATTAGTTTGCATACTAGAGCATTTCATGAACTGCGAAGTAAAACGTTGAAACTGAAGGTATATAAGGAAACAATCTTGAACGCTCTGGGTGAATTCCTAGAAGAACATTTTCCCCTTCCAGAGAAAGGCAAAACTGCTAAAAAGAAGGTAAGATTTTCTTAATAACTACTAAGTTTGGAATGTAAATTTCTATTTAATTAAATGCAATATCCTTTTAAAGTCACTAGCATAGAATCTGCATTTACATTTTGAAATAAATGTAGTTCTTCCAGCTGATTGTTTAGGTTTAATTGTTATTTTTCAGGTTGGTTTATATTATTTAAGGCTGTTCCTAGCTGGATATTTTCTTTTTAAATGCATATATCCTTCACCCAATTAGATGCATGGCAATGTATTGAATTTCTTACTGAACTGCAAGCTGTGCCAAATTCGGAAATGGTGGGGGTTCACTCCAAATTGTTCCGTTTTCTTTTTCACTGGATGAGGCAAGTGGATTCATATTTTCCTTGGCAAAGCAGATTTTAATTGTCTAACAATGTTTTTGGAACAATAATAAGGACAAGTGTTTATAATTACAGTGTAGTTTGGAATGTTAACCATCAGTTTCTGTTCAGCCAAACTGGGCCAAAAATTATCTTAAAGCTTTAGTGAAAATAGGCAGTCAAGGAGTATTTTGCATAATAAATTCAAAGTCTACAGTAAAAATAAACCTTTCACCATTACTATCTGAAAGAATAGTGACAAAAAAGGCAGGGGTTGATTTTTATTTCAGACACACTTAAGAATGAAGAAATAGAAGGGTTTTCTTTAATCCAGTTCTCTGTTATTTCAGACAACCACATAATATAATTTCTTTAATGTTACCATTGAGCTCAATTTTAAAACTAATTATTTTTGTTACTACTGTTTCTATTGGGGTTTGGTTTAGTACCTCAGTACTCTGGTTAGAAACTGTCTCCTAACTTCCAGTCCAAATTTATTCATGTCCAACACAGATCCATATATTCTTACGCCAGTATTGTCCTTAGAATAGCTCTTTTGCTTTCTTGTGTTTATTCCTCCAGATATATTTACGGACAGCAATCTTGCACTCTTTCTTTGTTTTGCTAACAGACTAATCTTCCTTGTTCTTCTCCTATATTTTTTTTTTCAATTCCACGGTTTATCCTAATAATACTCATTTTCTATATTTGCATCCACTTGGATTAATCTTTTTTTGGAACCTATTAAAACCCAATATTATAAACAAAACTAGCAGCTCACAGTCATAAAAGCAACTGATTATACCCTTGTCTTTCTTGTTATTTCCAACTGATGAACTCTGAGCTTTTAATTTAAAAAAAAAATCTTGTTTTTGCACAGAAGTATGTATTTTCCACATAAAAATACCAGATGGAGCCTTCAAAGCGTGATGTCGATTTTCAGAGTCTTAGTCAACCATCTTCAGACATCTTATTCTATTATGTCTTTGTTCTTCTGAATATCAATGTGTTCCAGTTTTCCGCTATTACTAAATATGATAAATTGTGTTCCAACACCAAGAAATTAAAGCTTTGAAGATTTAATTAACAGTCATTTTTCAATCATATATTTCCTGATTTCAGCCTGATATGTCATCTCCCTATCTGTTGGTTCTTACTCATCTTCTAGGACATGCCTCTTCAAACCCTAATGACTTTCCCATGTCCATTTTTCCTGTATATATCATCATCATTTCCTTAAAAATATATTTTCTATAATGAGATACAGTAATTTATTTCCTCCTATTTATCTGATGAGGTAGAAAATTATAGGCTGGAAGTTGCTTTGGAGATCTTTCATTCCAATACCAGTGAGTTGCTCATGGTCATATCCAGCTGTGTTTTAAATATAAGAAACAGTGAATTCATGTGTGTGTTTCAGAATCCTGAGGAAGATTTCATGTAAAATCTCCCGCCACAGAACAAAATCAGCTGCTTGAATTTTCTCACCCTCTGTTATACTGACTGTCAGAAATTATTATTAGGTACTCTGTCTACATCTCTCTTCCGTGCAGTTTTCTTTATTAAAACCTAAAGGAAAAAAATCACTCAAGGTGTTTGGGATTAATCAGCCTTCCTCCTGCTCACAGAAGCTCACCTTCTACCTTTTTTTTTTTTTTTAACTTAAATGTAAAAATTACGTTTAGAAATTTCCAAGCAAGGTCTTATGTTGTCTTAGTTTTAATTTTGTTTGTACATTTCCTGAACTCTTAAACTCAGCTTGCTTTCTGACAAATCTTTTTCTTTCTTTTCACTCCTTGTGAATTCATAGCTTCTTGGGTATCTTTTTACTTAATACTTATCTCAGTGGCTCAACTGCAAGTCCCCCATAATCTACATTGAAGTGATTAACTGTGAAGGCAGGAGACAGACAGACATTTTCACCTATATTGTTTTCTTTGTTGTGTGAGAAATACAAATTGACGGCATTAGCAATTAGATTTGTGGCGACATTGATTCAGGGGAACTTCCTATTCACATCTATTATCAGCTTGGTTCAATGCTCTGGAAGCACCGAACTCTTAGTTCTGTACATCAGTAATTTTGCTTTGCTTCGTGGAAGCTTCTTGTTTTCTGAGTAGTTACTAAATTGCATGAGGGTAAACGTGTGGGGCTGATGTCTGTACATCTACAGACACTCACCCTGCACATTCACTCCAGAGCACTGTGAACTGCTTTCACCAGGCACCTGCATCTGGGATGGGGAGTGGGAGGGAAGACTGAATCACTGCAGCTCAGGTTAGTTTCTGTTGCCATTGCCCAACACCTTTGGTGTAGGTGGTGATTGGGGTAAGAATTATCTTGCATTTTAAATCTCCAATAAAATAGCACTCTTTTTTTAAACTTTTTTTTTTTCAAGTTAAGAAATATGACCAGTCATATGTTGAGGAATATTCTTTATGTCAGTCCATCTCACGCGTGGGATGATGCCTTTCAGGTTAACTAAGTAAATGCAGAGCATCCTACTTAAAAGTGGCTTCATAAGCATTAATTAATTAGAGATATTCATTATATTGGTGACACTTAACTAATATGCAAGTAATATAATTTTACAAAACAACATACACAATGTATATTATAAAACTAGCAAAATAGGTTTGCTAGCTCTGTGAGAGTGCAAAGCTCTTTACACCTATAACCTCAGGATGTTATTTTTTTTGTATCAGTTTTAGTAATTACTAAAGGCATGACCTAATTTAAACTTTGAAACATGAATTTTGAACCCACTACCTAAGTTACAAAGTACTATTTTTGGCCAAGGAAACACAACAGCCAAGGCTACAACGTGTCTTCATGATTGCTCCAAGGAAGCTTTTGCAGCTTCTTAGTGTAGGTTCTATTTCCTCAGCCTAGAATCAAGATAAAGGCACAAAGATGGGGATTGTTGAGCAGGGTTTGCAAGGTATCCATGGCGCAGGCAGTACGTCCCCCTTGTAGCTTTCTGAAGGTGGGAATATTAAGAACTGTGACTGGAAAAAAGGAGCCAGAACTTGACGTTCACAAATTCTTCGTTATTGCTTATATTCTAATTCTGTTTCAGAGGCAGAGTTTGTATAAGCTGCTGCACATCTGTTAATGTCTTAGGACTGGACTTGGCTGCTTTCTCAGCACTGCTGTGGAATATCTCACCAGTGCTGTTTTATCTCCTTTATTTTGTTGAATATGAATATTTCTTTTTAAAAAGAAAAGAATCAGGTTGACTGTATAACAGCACAAGCAGTATTGTTGGCATTGCTGCCTAAGGAATCCATATCAATTTTTAGACAAATGCCTTGATTTGCTTGCTACAGATGAAAACAAGTAATTTTCTAATGTATTGCTGTACAAATTCTATTTTATCAGGAACTTTTTTTTTTTCCAAATTTTTAATCATTCTATTTCTTAAGCTTGGACAATTTTTTAATTGAAGTCAGAGCAAGAGTAAACAAATATTCATCATCAGATCATTAAAAAAATATTAAGGCACTATGAGCTCAAGTCTTGAGCTGTCAAATTTGAATTGTAAACATTTTTCTAAAGTTCATTCTATGAATATTATCTGTTAGGAAAAATGTTTTTCTTGTTTTGCACTGTACTACATTTATAAATGTGATGTACTTGATTTTATTTAAATGTAAACCCAGGTAGATATATTATGATAACTTAAGTTTAATCTTCTTTAATAATTAATTTTTTTAAATTACATTTGAAGTGTATCATACTGAACTGGTAGATGAACCATTTAAATACTACCTTGTATTTTTGTCATGACTATATCTAAGTAAAAGTCTTCATCTGTTGTGTACTATGCAATCAAATAATTGTGTGATTATTTTTCTTTGTCAATTAACATTTTTCCTGACTATTTAGTTTTGGTTTCTTTTAATTTGGCTGGGCGGGGTGGTTATCTTTCCAGAATTATTCTGAGGAGTCTGCTGTAGAACTGTTAACGCTGCATAAAATTTTGGAGGTAAGATGGTCTTATTATATAGAGATTTGGGGCATTTTCCAATACTCAGATCTGATGATAATATACTAATAAGATAAATAATATATATGACACATGGTTAAGATGGCTAATTGAAAAATAGAATGTTTAAGAATGTTATATCATATTTCTATTTTAATTCCTATCAAATTAACCCCCCTTTTTTTTTCAAGAGATGTGGCAATAATTTAGATAACTAAGTCTTCAGTTTAAGCTGGAGAATGATAATCCCTTATTTCTTAATTTTATAACCGTTACTTTAAAGAAGTTTTATGACCCTTAGTGGTTTATATTAGGGGAGGCTTAACAAAAATATCAGTTGTTCCATTTCATGCTATATTTTATACTGTTTCAGTAAAAGTATTTCTGAAATGTAATACAGTAACATTATAGAAGGACCAATTAACATGTGGTCTCGTGTTAACTGGATTGTCTTTTCATATGGAGAAATCAATGAATCTGATTCATGCATTTCTAATGATTTTATAAGTATGCCAGCATTGCTTAGTGTGTATTTTTAATCACAGTGCAAATTATGAATTTGAATTGCAAAGCATAATTTTGAAGGAGCATTAAGTATTTTTTCACTAGCATTGTTCTTTCTTGTCTGAAGTGTAGCTTTTGCACATTTCCTATTCCTCTTCCCTCCTCACTGTTCAGGCAGTTGTAAGCATCTATGTGTAAGACCTCCTCGGGAGTGCAACTGTTTTCCTGAGGGAAAAACTTGATGAATAACAACTTTTGGGTATTAAGATGCTATGATCTGGTCACTATGACATTGTTTATACTTTAAAGCCCAGACTTTGGGCTTACATCATCAAAATAATTTTACATGCCTCAAGTATCTCAGCATGCCTATTAATGCCAAATTAGGCAGAGCTTGTAAACAGATCAGAATTTTAAATAGCCACATTCCCTACAGAATTAAAATTTTAAAGCTCTCTAATGCTTTAAAATTGCCTTTCATATTTTTCTGACATTGTTAATCTCCTCAAAATGTGAACACCTCCAAGTAATGCCTGATTTCCATTTGGAAGAACATACTACTTCAAAAATTCAGACTTATTTTTAATTTTAACTATCTTGGCATAAACTGACAATATCTCTTATCTTTGTTTTATGGGATTTTTTTTGGTTGAGCAACTTGGTTTTAGCTTCAAGTGCCTGTTAAATTTCAAAAGTGTTTTCTTAGAGATAATAGTTTCTTAAAGAGACAAATGCAGAGTCATCTTTGTATTACAATTACAGATTTAGGATTTGCAGTTGTAAAAATGTAATTCATTCACAGAATTACAATCAGTGCATATGTTCCTAGCCATGTCTCCTCAATTTCCTTGTGTTTTGTTAAATAATGAAAGTGTACATTTTTAATAAATACACTTTGACAAGCTAGGTATGTACATTTTCGTATATTAGTACTTACTTCATTAAATTAACATAAGTAGTAAGCAAGCAGTAAACTCTTCTCATGCAAAACTCAGAATTTTTTATTATACTAGTTTTTATTCCAGTAATGAACTGTATTTTTTTTTTACAAATACAGTAATTATTTTCCTTTTAAACAAATTGAGGATTATTCCTTTCTGATTAAGTGAAGTAGTTTAAGATTTGAAAGACTGTTTACAATAGAAATGTATGTAAAGTTATAGCCATAAAGGCTATATTGGAATATCAGATGTCAGAAAAGGCTAAATAACAATTCATCTCATAGAATCATAGAATGTTGTGAGTTGGAAGGGACCCACAATCATGGAGTCCAACTCCTGTCCTAGCATAGGACAATCCCAAGATTCAGACCATGTGTCTGAGGGCGTTATCAAAATGCTTCTTGAATATTGTCAGGCTTGGTGCCATGACCACCTCCCTGGGGAGCCTGTTCCAGAGCTCCACCACCCTCTCGCTAAAGAACCTTTTCCTCATGTCCAACCTAAACCTCCCCTGGCACATCTTCTTGCCATTTCCTCTGCTCCTGGCATTGGTCACCAGGGAGAAGAGATCAGTGCCTGCCCCTCCTCTTCCCCTTGTGAGGAATTTACAGACTGTGGTGAGATCTCCTCCGTCTCCTCTTCTCCAGGCTGAACAAAC